GGAGCTGGTCTATTGGTAGTTACTTATCTAGGCTGCTATATGGTGGGAGAGGTCTCAGTAGTAGGCTCAGTAGTCTGAATCTGAGCAGGAGAGCTTGAGGACCTGGGGGTTTCACAGAAGAACTGGTCCACAGCATTGCTTTGGCAGAGTGGTAGTGAAAGTGTATTGGCAGTGTGCAGCACAGCATGGAGAAACCCATTGCCCCAGGCAGCTGCTGCCATGCGGACACAAGCTGCTGCCCAGAGCTGCTGCCATGCGGACACAAGCTCTGCTGCCCAGCAGGGTCCCGTAGTGCAGGGGTTTGCAGGTTTCACACTCTACTGTGATCAAGAAGAGAAAGAAAAAGACCTGTGCAGCACATCCGGGGGAGGTAATGGCCCTGGTGTCCCAGAGGAAACTGGCCATGGCTTTGGGGACAATGGTGGAGATGCAGCCAAGATCGAGAAGAGAGAAGTTGAGTAGGAAGAAGTACATGGGGGTGTGGAGGTTGTGGTTGCAGAATATGGAAGTGATGATGAGGACGTTGCCCAGGAGGGCAGCCAGGTAAATGCCCATGAAGAGCCCCAAGTGCAAGAGCTGCATCTCCCACGTCTCTGCGAATGCCAGGAGGAAGAAATCAGTCATGGAGCTGCTGTTGGACATTAGGTCCCTCTGGGCATGTGAACCTGTCCAAGGAGGAAAAGGCAGTGGAATATTAGTGTCACCGTAAATCGGCAGATGAAGAGCTCTCTAAGACTCAATTTGGAGTTTTAGAAAGCAGGCATTCTTTATTGCAGCACTGGGTGCAAGGTGGAATTTCCACAAATCAAGCACACCTAAGCCGAGATCACCGTTACATTTATACACAAAAATTATAAGGTAGTACACTCCCAATTACAATGATTGGTTAGTGATTTACATATAATTATAATATTGGTTATGTCATTCTCTTCTGTTACTACGCTTGCACGGGGGAAGGGTCTTCACCTGGGCATGGGTCTTCTTGACCTATGGGTGTGTTTTTTAGTATTATAATGAAGTCAGTTCACTTCAGGACACCTTAAAAGTAGGTTTTGTTGCCAAGTTGGCCAGCTAGATATGTACCTTGCCAGGTTGTCAAATAACTCATCCCATATACAATAGAACCTAGGGGCTCTGGGTATGGTCTAGAGAGTCCAGAGAATAGGGAATAGGGACTTCAAGCAACACAGCCTCAAATAATAAGTAACACAGCGTCCTATACATAATGCTACCATAGGGGCTAACTTATTAGAATCAAAACGTTCTTATAGTTGATTATTTCATAACCTAAAGATTCAGTAAAACTTAAGATCATCTTCAACATTAGGGTAGACTTCTGTGACCAAAATCTATATAATTTCTCACAGACCCTCCCCCCGCTCCCTCCCCACCCCAAACTGCCTGTCCCCTTTCAGGAAGACCTTTAGCAGGTCCCTTTCATGAGCTCTGGTTGGTGCTGGCAGAGGGTGCTGGGAGCTCTGCTGGGGGATCAGGAGGAGTCAGTCCTGCCCTACAGCAATAGGTAATAGGAATCAGGAGTGATCTCAGATTAAAACCACTCACGGCATCAAAGAGCTTTGCAGCATTGTTGCTCCCAACTTACCTGACTGCAGAGCAGAGCTGTGGGGGGTTTGTTTTGTTTACTCTCTTCTAGTTTCCCCACTACACCTGAGGAGTGTTTTTAAGGCAGAAATTGGTGGCATTTCTTCTATACTCCAAGTGAAACATTGTGGGTGCTGACAGGCACCAAACCCACAGGAGGTGGCATTCTTCTTGCCTCAGTGCCGGTGTGAACAAAACAGGTCCTGCATGTGAGCTCCTTGTCTCAGCTCCCATTCTAATTTCTGGAGATGGACTCCAGGAGTGAGCTGTTCAGATGCAAACAGCTGGTGACATCTGAGATGCCGGAGGTGGTCCAAGATACATGCAGGAAATTGCAAACTCAAATGGAGTAGTTCATAGAGACAGGGCAGCATCTGGGGGCATCCTCTTGGAGCATGCTGGGGCATTCCTTTGGCCAGGTGAAAAGGCAACACATGCCCACCTTTAGGACAACCGAACTGTCCCTATTTGTTATTTTAGGGCAGCCAGAAAGGCGAGCCCTAATCCTTAAACGCTAACCTGAACACCTAATCCCTGAAGCCGTCTTTCCCACGCTCTAACCCATTCACCTTCAACCCCTCTCCTACCCTGATCTTATGCTGTTTGGAGCCTTGGGGGAAGAGCAGGGCTCATGAGGTCCCAGAGCAGTCTCAAGGCATTGGAGGAGGACTGTGAGGAATCTGACTAGCTCAGAGGCCACAAGGAGGAGAGGGGTGGGAACGCTATGATGAGGTCAGCTGTACCTCAGAATTCACAGGCCAAGCAGGAGGCACATGGCTGTGAAGGTGACTGTGATGTCCCTTCTGCCTCTGGCGTTGGTTGACCAGCAGCATGAACATGGCTGGTAAAGGATGGGGAGGTCACTTCTTTCTGAAGCAGCTGCTTGGTCAGCCCTTGACTCATGGCTGGGATATTTGCTTTTCGGCTCACATCTGCCAGCGTCCTTGATAGGCCAGCAGAAGGCACCTGGTTGGAACGTGGATTGTGGGAAGCCATTTCCCTAATTACCTGGTACAAAGCTTTTATGGTCAGGATCCCTGAACTGCCTAAGGAAGGCTAGGAAGACCATGAGGTCTTCCTTAGGCAGCTGGAGGAAGGGACACAGATTTAGGACCTGGTAGTCACTGGGGGACTTTGAAGATCATGGACCTCTGCTAGAAGGCCTCAGTTAGAGGGAAGGTAGAAGGTAATGCCAGACCTGACATGGGGGGATGCTCTCCTGGATTTGTTTTTCACCAGAAGACAAGGCAGGACTGGTGGAAGATGTGGAGGGCAGCTTTGGCTGCAGTGCACGTGAGGTGGTAATGTAGAAAACCACGAGGGAAGTAAGCCAGACAAATTGCAGCAGGGCTGAGTAGAGAGGAAGGATCACCTCCACCCACCTGCTGGCACTGTTCTTCCTGATGGAGGCCAGGATGCCGTTGTCTGCCTTTGCTGCAAGGGTGGAAAGTCAGGAGAAGAGAAGGCTTTGGGGAGACCTA